TTAAGTCCTAATTAAGGGGGTCTGAGTCCACGAAATCCCCCGCAATTCTGCTTCCAGCTAAAATTTGTAGTGACATTTGCATTCTGTTGCCCACAGCAAGCCGCTTTCTCGTCGGCGAGCACTCTTCCTCTGCTGGTCAGCTCCTCCGGCGCTCACAGTAACTCGAGCGGCGGCAGCGGGATGAAGCTGGAGGCGGTCATGGAGAACCTGCAGCGACAGCAGGCGGCTCGACTCGCTCTGGAGGAGAAACTCCGCCAAGCCGAGAAGGAAAAAGACATCAGGTCTATGGTGGAGTCGCAAATTCAACAGCAAGCTATCGCTTTCCGCCACTATCAAGCAGCGGTGAGGGGAGCGTTCGCATCGGGAGCCCCGAACTCGAGCCCCGGCCACCCACATGAGCGCACAGCCGACTCCGACATCGACAATGAGGATGACGACCCAGACCTGGACCGCGGCATGGACGATGAAGATCGCGACTTGGAGGAAGATGACAGTATGAACGAGGCTGGAGGGGATGAAGATTTGGAAGGACCCCTAGCTCATTACCCACCGCGCCTTGCTGTTTATCCCGGTGCCAGGCAGTCTCCAAAAAGTACCCCGATACATCTGTCCAGAGTCCAGCCAACCTATCCAGCTCCAAGGCAGGCTGAATCACCGAGTGGTTTGGCACCACAAGCACAATCGCAGCACCACGAATGGACTTATGAGGAGCAGTTCAAACAGGTATGTTCATGAGTGAGATCTGTAGATAGATTGTAGTAATGCACTCTCATAACCGTTAAATGTGCACTCTGGTGAACTCTATGGTGATTACTAATGTGTAAAGTTTAAAAGCATGAAGTGAGACTGAGTTCAATCCTGTGTGAAACTACTGCATAGCTAGTTCTCATCATAATCAAAAAACTGAATTAGTCAATGGAAACAACAGGCTTTTAGGCAGTGCTAAAACTTTAATGCTTAATCTTAATGTAAACTATACTGTCCAGACACCTGCATCATGCATTGACATTATATATTAAGTTGGACTATATCAGGTTTAATCGCTGCTTCAGCATCTTGTTTCATCATTAGCACATAGACATACAGTCTGCACTAATAAAAATCCCATTTGTAAGGTTGTTTAATTGCTGCTTTACATTTTATATAAAATCAAATCGGCAACCTGCAGTAATCACACTTTTTCAACTACTTTGAATTTAACTATGATGTAAAAAAAAATTTTTTTTGATTAATTGCTTAAATAATTGCTTAAAATGTTTAAATTGTCACCATTTCATAATTTCGGTCTAAGACATGCTTTTGCATTGTGCATAAAGAACAGATATGTTTTTATTGAAGTCTTTGCTGTTGATGTGTACGAATGCAAAAATTTAGTCTGGTTAATTGGTTTTGACTGTTCTATGTAAATTTATTTTTTTTGGTATGGGTACGTTTTAATTATTCAAGGTGGATTGTACACCTGTACACTGGAAATTCAGGGTTATACGTAAAAATGTTTCATAGTTATGCTGCAGCAGTTTTGCTCCACTGTATTCTCAGGGGATAATTTAGAGTGATACACTGAGAGTGAGGCTCTTAAGCAAACACAGATCTATACAGAATGAGCCTGGATGGACTTGTCATTCTTTATTTATGATAGATCATTCAGAGACCTGGCCAAATGAGACATGCACATTAGCGGCTGCATTAGTGTAAGCACTGGCTTAACGTATGGGGTACAATGCAGTTTGAATAAGGACAGCTGTTTTGATTTAATGTTATGAAATAGAGAAAAACACAAAATGGTCCTCAAAATGATCTCATATAACTTCAACATTATTTTAATAGTGTGATGTATATGCTTACATAAAATCTATAATTTGTTTTTCATTTTCAGAAGTTGTGTGTTATTCTTAGATTTATAAACTTTTGACAAGAAGTTTTTGATCATATAAGAATAATACCAACCACAATGTTTACTTAAAAAAAAAACTGAGGACAGTGTTACACAACACAATTAATGTTGTTTTGCAGAAGTCAAGGACATGCATTTTGTAATCGCTGTTGAACTATTTGGACAAATCAAGTGAAATGCAGAAACAATGAAAGGATGCCGATGGCATTAGGCAGACTGACTGGAGCCACTGTACTGCCTGTTTTCAACACTTTAAAAACTGTCTAAATGCTATAAATGCCTTCTTAAAACAAGAAAGGCTTTTTAGAGGAATGTAAAAATAGACTGCCATTAAACTTCTTTGTGACCAAATTCCTGGTGTCTGTATTTGCTAAAGTAATTAAAACACTAAATACAGACTCCTGTTTAAAAAAGAACTTTATAAGCAAAGAACTTTATAAGTCAGCTCAAAGTGTTTTCATTATCTTTCATTTATGTTTCTGTACAATATTGCTTAATTAAAACTAAACCCAAAAACCTAAATAACTCTCAATTATGAAAACCAAATTAAAGGTCTTATAATATTGTAAATTCATTTCTCATTTAGTCAAGCCTAAGCTGGATGTGTTTAAAACGTCTATTTGCACTGATATTAAAAATGAGTCATTCATCAAAGGAAAACAGAATAGATAGGAGAGAGAGCCAGACAGGACAGGATCGGAAGAGACAAAGTTAAACCGGTTGCCATATGGCCGTTTATTGTCAAAGAAACAGTGAGGGGAGAGGAGAAAAAGCAAGTAGTTGCGTAGAGTTTTGGCAGGAATGCAGGAAACTAGACCTGGTGGCATTCCAACCTGGCTCCCTCCCAATAACGCTGGGATATCCCTCTCAGGCTGCGTATGGGTCGGCTCAAAGCCAAGCCATTACGAAATAGGAACAAACTGCATACTTCACTACAGTCTAGCCAGACAAACATATTTGTATGTGTGTGTGTGTGTGTGTGTGAGTGTGTGTCTGCAAAGAGAATCACATTCTGGACCAATATTGTTGTACACTTAAATATTTACTGGTGCTTTCGCTTTTGTTTATTTAGTGTTTGTTAGATGTGTGCATTGGAATACCAGAAGTTTTTTTTTTTTCATTACATTGCATTGCATTTCACCAATGTTTTTATTACTTTCTGTCGCAAAATTATTAAATCAGTATAATTAAGTTATGTTTAATAACATAAGTAATATATTTGACTTCATAATTGAGGTTTGGGGTTAGTAAGATTTTAAAAGGATTTGGGTCTCTCATGCTCACCAAGGTTGCATTTATATGATCAGAAATGCAGTAAAAACAGTAACATTGTAAAATGCAGTAATAACAGTACTATTACAATTTAAAATAACAGTTTTCTATTTTAATATATTTTGAATGCATTTATTCCTGTGATGGCAAAGCTGAATGTTCATTACCCCAATTGTTATTACTCCAGTCTTCAGTGTCACACGATCCTTCAGAAATCATTTTAATATGTTGATTTGGTTCTGAAGAAACATTTCTTATTATAATCAATATTGAAAACAGTTGTGCTGGTTAATATTTTTGTGAGAAAAGTGGTAAATTTTTTTCAGGATTCTTTGATTAGATTAGATTTATTTTTTTTATTTTTTTTACAGAAGTCTTTCCTGTCACTTTTGATGAATAAAATCATTAATTAAAAAATCTTACTGACCCCAAACTTTTGAATAATAGTTTATGTAATATCAAACAGACTCCAATTTCCAACTTCTAAGATCAGCAAGCTCCATATCTCAACCTATTTAAAGCGCATATCAAATGTTCACTAAAATACAGAGTGTACTTTCTCCCCTCAGCAAATATCATCTTTAGATTGCTCAGTCTGACCTCCACTTTGGTTTCGGGGCATATGTTTGATCCCCCCCTCTCTGCCATGTTTTGCAAACATAAAATACTCACAGAATGACTTTTTCCCATAACAAGGCTTTTACAGGGCTATAGAGGGGGCTGGGCAGGGCTGAACGGGGTGGAGGAAACCCGGCAGTGGTGTTTGGTTTCACTACATAAGCTTGTGGAAAAGGAGGTTTGTCTTTGCTTCTCCAGTCCACTTTAGTAAAATTAGGCTACTAATGTACTGTCTTTTGACTCAGAGGGTATTAGCACTCTCTAAACTTTGAATTCTGTTTGCTCTAAGCTCAGAAGAGACAGTTTGGGTATTTAATCCTTTAGAAATAACGGTTAGAAACCTGTGTAAATTTATAATGATCTTTTTGGATTTTTAAAATGCAGTTCTAAAGAGATTAATGAGTATCAAGGCAGCCAGTGATGACCTAATTCACATAGAAACACTTACAATTAAGCAAAACATTTCTTGGAGAAAATAGGAAATGAGGCAATTGTGAAATCACTGAAAGGAAGACAAAGTTCTCCCCCAGACATGAAGGCAAAATAGTCTTTGTGGTTAAACAAACGTTGTCACTGGTCAGGGGTTTGAAGATACGCACCTCTTTGTTTTGCTGGACACTTTTGTGAAAAGGGGGGAAAAAAACTTGGTGGGAGTGAGAGACAGAAGCTATATGCGGCCAAAACAGCCCTAACCCATGAGCCTCTGCGGTTAGTCTGTTGATATATTGAAATGGCCTGTCCTAAAGTATTCTCAAGTAACACACTTCAATTCAAGCCCATTAATACCTTCATAAAAATGCTTGGAGCCCCTTCTTTGAATTTGACACACATACACACACACACAGTAACTCCAGTGTCAACACGACATTCCTTGACTTTACAGGCCTGCTCCACCCCTACGGTATCCCCTTCTGTTTGATTGCACTGCTTTGCTCATATGTTTTGGGGTCCTGAGAGCCATTAAATTCCCCAGCGTGCAGTCTCAAGCTAAAACACATGCATGGAGCCAGTTCTCCATATGGCTCAGAGGTTGTGATTTTTACCCAGCAACCCTCTGCACACACCTTGGCAATATAATCGCCATTGGCTAGTAAATTTTGTTGTTTACTCACCAGACTGATATACTATTTTACACACACACACACACACACACACACATTCTATGTAATGTCCCCATTTAGCTATCTAAATGGGGACATTACATAGACTTCTATTGTTTTTATATACAGATAGTTATACACTTCTTATCACACACATACTGGCGAGTAAAATCTAAGAATGTATTAGCCAATGGCTAATGTTAGACATTATTTAGTCGCCCAGAGTAAGATTTAGTCGCATATGCGAGTGATTTACTCGCAATGTAGAGGGTTGCCCAGCAGCACTATCGTTAGCCTTCTGTGGTATGAGCTAACCCAGGCCTTCCGACAGCTGTGGCAGGTTCATTTTGGACGTGTGCTGTCAGTGGAAATATTTAATAGAATTCCAGTCGTCTCAGTTTTAGATCGCCTTATAAATGAGAGACTGCTTTAGCTGTGTCCAATTGGCCGCCTGTTATAAATCCATGCTGAATGTCATCAGCAGGTGATCTGATAATCCTGCTCCGAACATTAACCATACTGAACATTCAGAACTGGTAACAGACCCACACCTCGAGCTACGTCAATGTCTTACTCGCTGACTGTAATAACATTATAACAATAACAATAATATACAATAACAGTCAAACGTCAAAGTGAGAACGTTTCATTTTAATCCTGTTTGTTGCTGCCTCGCTCATCACACAAGCTCCAAATGTATGCAACGTTTTTTCTATAGTTTGAGCAAGAGGCTGAAAAATATGCATGTTTTTATTAAAAAAAGTTAAAAAATTTTAATTTTTACAATAATAGGTTACACTTGTATTGGTATATTATTATAACTCCAACCTAATTACAGT